GATAAACACAATTCATCTGTCAAGGGCGAGTGAGGAATAACCAATGAAATCTATCTCAACGAAAAACGGTTATTCCATTGGCTGTTCTGTAGTCCCGTTACTTTCGGAGCTGGTTCTCCTAATAGACAGATTAAGCGTCCACTCTGGGTTTGCAGAAAATCGAAAATGGAACTAGCCAATCATCTTGTCGTTGCTGCTGCTACTTGATTGTACGGGAGCCGATCGATCGGTGTAAAGTGACAGTACATTGGCGAGGCTGCATACCAACCAATGACAGATAAAAATAACCGCTCGAATGACAAGGGAGGGCAGAGCCACTCGAAAAAAGTTTGTGGGGCTGTACAAGCGTTCACCTGAAAATCCAAACTGACCCGTGAACAGTGGAACTGAAACCGCAGGTTAATTGACAGTCATGACTGAACTTTGCGCAACAATCGATGGACCACGCCCACTATGCAGTGTACGGACACCGTAACCAACATTGTAACTAGGGGACATAGATGAAACTTCATCCATAAATACTCTATTAGGCTTAGAAACGCACGTCACCTCGGGTGCCCGACGCTTTAGGTTTATAGTCAGTTCGGACACTGATAGCAAGATCCCGGTGACAAGACGGTCACGTGAGGCGTTATCACAGACTGACCAGGTAAGGATTGAGGACACACAGAGACGGCCCTGAGCAAAGAATGACTCCAAGTGGACGCTACACTATGTATGAGTCCACAGTGTGGTATCCGACGTTTCGAATAGGACACAGCGCAAATGGGTTTAGTGTTGACAGAGTTGCAACACGAATGGCATTGTAATCCCGCGGAAGGGTCTACTCAATGAAGAGGACATCTGAGTAGCCTTTGAATGGATCTTTTGACATTTTCTACATAAAGCTTTAGCGGCCGTGTCACAGAGTCTCCTGGAGGCATGTCTTCACAATGTGATGCAAACGACCGCTGGTGTTAATCGGCAAACTAGGCAATACTGTTTATTCGTCGTTATCAGTGAACTGCTGCACTGTGGGCACCGAAAATCTTGCAAAACTGTGTACCTCACCGAAATGGACGATTTTTCCCTGAACTACAGAACCAAACCTCAGCAATGGGTCGCCGCAGTGGCACCGAACAAGGCGGACAGGCCTTCTATTACACTTCCTAAAAATATCTGCTGTGACAGCTAACGGCTGTGAGACGTGGGGGTGTTATTCGTAGATTTTTGTCACACTATTGGTTGCTATGCTGTACCGATCATTCCATTTGACTCGTCATCTGTGACCTCTTCGTCAACCAGTCGAGTTTGTTCTGTACTCCATCGTGGGTCAGATGCAGTGAAATTTGAACAAACGCCAGCTATCCAATCCACCTATGCAGGTTCCAAATTAATTTGACTCACCAATGTTATTTCGAGAAATTCTCTAATTTGCACATAAATTTGCTCTGGACAAGAGATTCAAGTGAATCCAGCCCAATCTATCGTTTATGATGGTCCACTCCAACTAGACGGCTGCACCAAGCTATCCCATGTTTTGGCTGGGCTGCCAAAGAGTATCCAGCAGCTTTATGAGTAGTATACTACATACATCTGAACAATAACCCATGTTTCAGAGAGGTCTGGTGAACAATCGATGGATTTATCACTGGGCAACGTTTGGCTTTTGACACAAAAGTTTCATCAGGCCAAGTGAGTGGGTAAGTAGGTTGATTGGGTTTCAAGGCAGTCAGCCGACTTGATCAGTGCTGGGTGTTCAGTCTGAATTTCCTGTTTGTTGCCTGGTGCGGTTGACTAACATCTATGATAGATTGTTTAGGGGGACGAGTTGTCTTCATATTGGGAACGAGATAGCCCGATTGGTTAGAGCGCGAATTTACTGACTGAAAGGCCCGTGGTTCGAATCCGACCTCCGTCTCTCGACTTCCTCTGCCTAGAGTTGGGCAAACTGGCAATATCCCAGCCCTCGTGCAACCTTCGGGTGGCATAGCGGCTAGGCACCGGAAGGGTGCTACAGCTGAACGCTGTCTTTGTATTGAACCCAGGTTTTTCGTCCTTGCTTTTTCAGTCTGGGACACCTTAATGGAAAATTCCTCTTGGGGTCGTTCACAGATTTCGTATGCCTGTATTCGTCAAAGGGTGCCGGGACGGTTGGCTTGGGGATGGAGGTGGTCAATTGGATCTAACTCTACTTGGATTTTGTACGTTTAGACCCAGACCATTTCGAGGATAACTGCATACCGCCTCGTATCATCTCGGCTGATCTAAGACCACTCTCCACACGTTTGGAAGTTCTACCCCCTCTGTCCTATTTACGCTGGGACGCTTGGCGATTTCCACCGCTTCGGCCACCAGTCGCTATGGTGTTAATCCTAAACCCCGTTTCAGGATATCCACATTTTCTAAATCTATTCTATGCCCAGTGTCTAGAGCATGCCCTGCCATTGCTGAATCTTTGACAATCGCCTGGTATTCATCTACGTTTCTCGGTGGTCTATTAATGGAACGCTTATGCTCACCGATTCTGGTGTGCAATTCCCTGGCTGTCTGACCTATATACACCTTCGTACAGTCGTGAGATTTTATTTTGTATACACAGTTCCTAGTCCTATCAACCAGAAGGCGATCCTTCAAATGCACCAACACCGAGCGTAAAGTATTTCCCCTCTGGAATGCTGCTCTAATGTTAGCCGTATTCAGTAGCCTTCTAATGACTACATATCAAGTCGGCGAGCCATAAGAAATTTCATCGATTGGTTTCCTGACTGCCTTAAAACCCAATCAACCTACTTACCCACTCACCTGGCCTGACGAAGCTTTCGTGTCAAAAGCGAAACCTTGCCCAGCAATAAATCCACCGATTGTTTACCTAACCTCTCTGAAACGATAACTTCCCAATCGATCCCAATTGACTGGATAACCAGTGTTAGTTTGCGCTTGAAGGTTAATAACACGTTCTGGAAACCGGTTTGCGGTCACAGCGGTGGGAATGAATGGGTGCATCAAGACAGTGTTCTAGGGTTTGTTTGCGAGATGGCCCAATTGGTTAGAGCGCGAATTTACTGACCCGAAGGTCCATGGTTCGAATCCTACCTCGACTTCCCCTGGGCAACCTGGCAGTATCCCAGCCCTCGTGCAACCTTCGGGTGGCATGGCAGTTGGGCATCGAAAGGGTGCTACACCTGAACAATTTTGTTTGTGAACCAAAGACAAATTGACTGACGCATCAGGTGCGAAAATCCCTCCGAAAAGAAGTAGTCTAGCTGCCCAGGGTTCAACCACCACCCGCGAGAACACCTTGGATCTCTGTGTTCCGCTTCATATTCAAAGAACTACGACAATGGAGTGATTTGACAACCAATATAAGGAGCACGGCGGTCACATTTGCATTCCAACGTGGTACTGTCCTCATTTCGCGATTCTCACCAAATAGAAGTGAATGGCCCTGACCCATCGACCTGGTTTGAAAGATCTCTAGTATCTGTGTTATGAAGAGACAGCGATGAACACATCGAGAGCGGACAGGAGCATCTTTGTTCTACACATACCACAGAAAAGTTTGTACTGAAGTGGCTAAGCACCAAACGGACAAACGTAGCTTTAGCAGGAAAACTCTCAGTTAACCCCGAAGGTTACTTTCAGGGGCGGGACATTCATACTTTCTTACTGTGTTATATGAATTCGATTTCAGCACCAAGCATCCACCATGATGACTGAGCTATAATGAAAGCGTGATGAAAGAGCACGTTGAATGAACTGTGGACAAGCGCAAAACCCTCACGCAAGACCGCCACTAAAGAGCTAAACGCAGACGGTTGGTGATAGCATACCTGAGGATCACGTGAAGCCTTGTTGGAGCGAAAAGCTGGTCCAACACCATGCTACGATGAAATGGTAGGTCAAGCTTGACTCACTTGAGTGACATATCACACACGGAACAACGGAAGCAAAGTCGGTGCCAGATTTTGTCGCCAGCTTCCATTCGCTCATTGGCATAAACGGATTTGCCACAGCGGACACACTTCTCGGTTTTGGGCTGAAAAAGCGGGAAAAAAACTAAACTAGTGGTGCTGAGCAGTCGAACGTGACAGAATGAAACGAAGAAGATTACAAAACGTCTGAGTACTGTAGATACAATCTACCTTCCAGAACGGGGCTCAAGTGTCCCACCCTGTGCTTGACTGGACGTTGTAAAACCAATTAAAGCGAATGGTAGTGATAATGTCTGTTAACGATGATGGTGATGAGGATTTTCATAAAGGAAACTACTCACAAAGTTGCTGAAAACTCTTCGATAGCCCTTCTTGAGGCTCATCAGGTAGACGCGGTCCCTGAGTTTCCGTCAACCTTATGTTCTCCTTAAACCCATAAAGATTAGTATTGCAGAGACGGACTTCATCGTTACGCGTTTCAAATTACTAGAGCGTGAGGACTGCTTAGTCTGCCTATGGTGTGACTCGTCCCTTGAAAATGACCTTCACTCTGAGTTCTGATTGGTCAATCCGCTGACACTATGTATGCTGAGTACCTCTACCGTACTGGCCACTTCAGCCTACAGAAAGCTGGAAATCAGTTAATCTTATACAGTTTACAGAAAGTAATTACATGCGACTGTCTTATTGAACGGCAACTTCGAAACGGAATGCTCACGTGACTGCTTGAAACATCCTCCTTTCCATAAAGATTGCCCAAGGATTGTAGGCAGTGGAGAGATTAGGACCATGGATTTTGGTTTCCACTCCGCAAATTAAGACTGTCTATGCTGGAAAGTTGGGAATTATTGTACAACTGTTTTGTTCATTCAACGATCCTCTTTGGAGGCTCTAACCCGCAACGTTTCGGCCGCAATTAACTGACCTTACGGCTTGACAGGCTAAGCTATTCCGGGCTCACATAAGTAATCGTTTTGAAAAAAAACCGCCCATCAGTGACTCCATCTGAGGAGGCATCACTTGAGTAGCCAGTGTCACGTGAAATGCATGAAGCAAAGCGGCACTATATCTCGCGGTAGTTTAAGCCATTAGCCGGAGCACGGCGAGTGGGTATCCGCCTTTCGTGATGGGCGGTGCACTGTTTAATGCCTTTTCGTCACATGTACGGTTTTTTCACTCGGAAGATGAAGGCCACGAAAGCCGTAAAATCTGTGCCCCTTATTTCCACTTCAAGGCTCAGCGGGGCCGCAAAGCGTAAGCAACAAACACCACGCGTTGCAGAGAAAAAACAAGCGCGGAAATTTATCGATTATGCACGGTCGATCACACACTGAAACCATAGCAACCAAAGTGTCCAAGCAAAACCAATTGCGCAAACAGTGCCCCTTGATTGGACAGAGTGCTATTAACTGTCGCAGCTGGTGTGTCCAAATGCTTTTAGCGTCTAACTTGCCACTTCAGAATCCTCATGTCTTGGAAATGAACGGTTAGATCAAGTGTTGAAACCTTACATACGACGCTAACACGACTGCGTAAGACCCCATGATGAGTTGTATTCAAATAAACAGAAAATTGACACCACAACGATCAGAGACACTTTCAACCAATAGCGAACTATCTATTGTTAAAAAGTCAATTAGTGTATAACAGCCGAACTTTCTCTGACACTACCCTGGCACGGACAAGGAGCGAAATTTCCGCGTTTCTCAGTTTACAGTGAGTCACTAGTAACGTAAAAGTTACTTTAAAGTTAGGAAGTAATTGTAGATGCCTAGAAAAAGTTGCCCAATCCCCCAGACTTGTACGTCGATTTATGCTCACCTGGACTGATCAGAGATAGATACTCTGGACAATCAGGAATGTCTGGTGAACGCTGTGCAAAATAAGGGTAGTGATATAAGGGTATTTTCAAGTGTGTGCCGCAAAACGGATATTTATGACGCCAAATTAGTGAAAGACAGCTCGATCTAAGCGGTTACAAACCGCCAGGCACGAGAGTAGAATCCCTTGTTACACAGAGTTTTGAAAAGGTCAACCTTCTCAAGCGTCGTTCTGAGCTTTCCCCGAAGTTGTTCGAATACCACACAGTAATCAACAAACGCTGTGTGAAGCGGCTTACTAAGTTCAAATCAATCTTAAGCCGAACGCAGGAATGATGCTTTAACCTGCTTGACCAGATACTACTTGCATGTTTCATCAGTAGTGTCACACCACCAGCAGTTCTGTGGCGAACACACTTGGACTGACTATGATACCAAACCATCCGGTTAACGTTTCTTGTTGCATAGCATCGTAATCCCCTCCAAAATTCTACAATATCTACACCAAATATATGTTTATGTGAAAGATCAGTACCTGACTTCGTTTTACCTAGGGGCCTGTAGATCGGAGGTGTTGGAAACCAGACAGCCTGTGTCACTCAGCTTTGCCAACGAACAACTATGTCTTCTTCGCAGTCCATTCGGAGTGTCCCAAAGCGGAGCTTAGGAAAAAAATCAGAGATCAGACCGCACTGCACAGGCCAACCAGGATAACGAGACGTCCTCTCACAAATATTTCGAATATGGATACGCAGCCCACCTAGCCACCTGATTCAGGGTCACAGATCGGGGCGACGTACTGTTTTCGGTTGATACCCTCATTGTGAGCCCGACAAAGCTTCGCATACGGCAGTGTGAGGACGTAAATACTTGACGCAGGCCTGGTTTCTACCGGTTAATTTTCAGAGTGTTGGACCCCGAGTCATCTCGGAACGGTACTGAATCATCGGCTGGGCCGAATGAGGTACAGTGCTTATGTCTAGTGCCATGTCTAGGAACGCTAGCTACATCATCTGACGGCAGTTGGTCCTGGTGTAATGGTGTGTGCTACTTATGAAACATGTGAGTAGTATCTTGTCGGTTGTCAAAATAACGTCCCCGCATCTGATGGAAAGGTGGTACGGAAGTTATGGAACTGCCTTGCTGTTCATTATTGTTTATTACTAAAAAACGGTTAGTTTGTTGTACGCGCACTGAAAGACACTGAAGGGTGTTCTTTCTTTGAGTTGACAAACAGTGAAAAAGCGACGTTAAGTACTCCTTTTTTTAATAAATCAGCATTTACCTTACTGCGAGCGGCCTTTATCAGGAGAAAAACGGTAGAAATCACAAAGGACAGGAGAAACCAGGGTTGATTGGCGTGTATTATTGTGCGATCAGTCGTTAGGGGGCTGCTCATTTATTCAAGGTGGGGTTGGAGCTGAATTCCGCTGGTCATGCTATTGGTTAGTACTAATGAACTCTGGCCGCGCATTGGGTACAGGCTGATTGTCGTCTCCACTAGCGCAGGCAGACTGCGCCTCCACACAGAACTATTCTGTATAAATAGTTCAGCACCCTTTCGGTGCCACGCTACCAGAAGGAAGCACGAAGCCAGGTAGCCAGATGTGCCTATACATGAGCATTTTGCTACGTGTATGCACGCAATCAAAGTTGATCTCAACTGATGCGTGAGGTGCGATTGCGCTTCATTATCTCGTCCCCACCATTCTGCATACCTTAGTGAAGCGGCTGAACTCCGTCACATAACGCATCGTGGTTTCCCATCAGTGCGTGCCGAGTTTTTTGGAAATGCGAGATTCTTGTGAGGAAAGGTTGCACGCTTTCTCCGTTCTGCGATGCGCACAGAAATTCGTCCCATATTCAACAGATGGCATCGCTATTCCGTTTTGTGGACGCACGAAGAACGTTTGTATTAGGAGAACCAGCTCCGAACGTAACTGGACTACATAACAGCCAATGGAATAGCCGTTTTCGTTGAGACAGATTTCATTGGTTGTTCTTCACTAGTTTTTGACGGATGAGTTGTATTCTTAGTATCACATTTTTGACCACTTGTACGCGACAGTGATCGATAGGGCAGCTGTCTCGCACGTTCGTTGGCTTTTTCTGTTTTAGTCAAGCGCACCAGGCTATCAATCGTCTATTCAGACAGGGGTTCACGGTAATAAGAAGGCATTAAGGAGACTGTGGTCCACAACAGTTTGTACACAGCGAAAACTGCTGGTGACTACACAGCAGATGAAACTGCCCGATGTTTCCGCCCCAACGAATCGATGACACATTGGGCGAGATGGCCCAAGTGGTTAGAGCGCGAATTTACTGACCGGAAGGTCCGTGGTTCGAATCCGACCTCCGCCACTCGACTTCCCCTGTCTAGGCTTGGGCAACCTGGCAGTATCCCAGCCCTCGTGCTTCCTTCGGGTGGCATGGCAGCTAGGCACCAGAAGGGTGCTACAGCTGAACGCAGAGATTGATCAGCTGTGAATCAACTTCATTTCATGTTTCCGGTCGCTTGCGCGTGTGTGCCTCGACCTTGGGACTGAGCTGTCTTCTCACATGGGGTCTCTCGTGCCTGAAGTAGGTCGGACCAAATTTCAGATAACTCAACACTAGCGGACTCGTTGACACACAGGCATCACGTGATACAGCGCAGCATCTCTGTGCCTATACATGAGCATTTTGCTACGTGTATGCACGCAACCAAAGTTGATCTCAACTGATGTGTGAAGTGCGATTGCGCTTCATTTTGTGCAATTCGCTCGCGTTTCATAGAGAGGCCCGAGGGTGGAGCTTATGTTCGTTGATACAAACCGCCAGTTGTCTGTTGGCAATCTAAACACACTACCAACCGGTACAATCCATAGACGTAGTATTGAGTGTTGCTAAACGGTAGTGCAACTCTATGTCGATCCCTTGTGCCCCGCCCGGTATATCAAAGGGCACGGTAACTCTACACAGCCCATTATGGAGACAAAAGGAGAATCATTACATCTGTATTTATAGGGTAGGGTAG